GCTCTCCTTTTGTCATTAATATACTTGAACACACAAATGTAAGCTATGGTGTGTAAATATCTTACCTGTCAAAACCACACAATCTCCATTTTACATATGAACTTGAGAAAAGACTGTTTTATTTGTCCCTCTTCGCAGAAATACATCATTCACTCTTATTCCTTGTAACACTTCTTAAGGTGGGAAGGAGAAGAAACATTTAAATGCACTGTTATATTTTGATAAATAAGAAAATGGATTGAAAGTACATTCTGATTTTCAGTAAGATCTATACTGTACATGATGGGAATATTTAGTCACATTTCATCCCCACCAGCCTTCCACATTCATCATTAGGTTTGGTATAATTTTACCAGTGAATATATCTGGTTTTTTTCTGACTTACAAATTTTATGTTCCTCTTGCTGTTCCCTCTAAATCATTGTTGGCTTCTGTTAGGGTCATTGCAGAAACTTAGGAAATAAGAAAAGATACTTTCTTTACTTAGAGAATGAATGCAGATATAAAAGCAATGGGTTGGCTGTCTTAATGAAAGAGTAGCTCTCAGAGAGCATGGCAGCAGTGTATATATATATGTCTATATCATAAGTATGTCATATATTTGTACTATGATTTCTATGAAAACATCAGCTTTCATGTTGTAGAAAGCGGAAAGAAGTCTGGGTTTAAAATTGAAAGGGCAAGAAAGATCTCAAGTTCCTATACGTTTTAATACTACTGCGCCCCAGGACCTATTTCACAGCTCTCATCTGTTGGAAAACCACTAAAATGAGTCTCTCCTTTCGGAACAATTTAAAATATGTGGTAAGGAGACCAATAAGAAACATAAGGACTCCATCTAGTTTATTAATGGCACATATTTTATTCGTCCCCAGGGCAACACTTACAGCTCTGGCATGATAGAACAAGATGTGAAGATAAAAGCATTAATAATTAGTTCATATGTCAACCTTTGGGGCTGATCTTGCATCAAACAAAATATGGAGCTTCTTTTTTTTCTTTTCATTTAAAAAACCCCCACCAGGAAAGGAGTTTTGACTAAAGTAAAACATCTCAAGGAATGATTAGTGCTTTTTTATTTTTGGTTTTTAATTACTGGCCTGGGAAATGAGGAAGTGCCTTGCATTCAGACATTCAAATGTCATCATAATATTGTTCATTGTTGATGCTTCTGCCCATTGTTAATGTTGATGCATATGTATTATATAGACGCATAGTTTGATTTCCAGATCTGACTCAAAAATACATTTGCAGTACTGATGCAAGAAACATCTGATCAAAAAGCACAATTGAATAATTTGTGCAGCACTGTGTGAAAATTCAGTGTTTCACTAATTAGTTAAGATAATGAGAAGGGAAAAACAGTTCAAAGTAATTATTTTTAATTAATTGTTTCCACCTGTTGCTACAGAGGAGAAGGGAGATACTGCTTTTTTTGCACATACGATGTATGTAAACCATCCAGGTCCTACAGCATTAAATACTGGCTTAACACATCCCGACTGGACAAGCCGTAAGTAGTTAGTTATCTGCCAACAGGGAGCACACACAAGTGGATGTATTCTCAGTCTTAATTTCTCCTCTTGTTGACACAGCTTTTGTTAAACTTTGGTTTATTGGGTGGGGTTTTTTCGAGCAGTTCTACTGACTGTATTTTTAAAATTAATCAGCCCCCGTGGAAGTTGAGGCTGGCCATGTCCTGCTTTGGTCCTTCATTTTCCAGCGCACTGTTGCTATCCCATCTACGTTGTGGGTAAAACAGTGGGTAAGTAAGGGGGAAGAAAAGCTAAGTATGTTTTCCTCTCTGCAGTTCTGTAAATCTGTGGCAGTGTTAGACAGCCAGACATACCACATCTACGTATGTACTAGAGGGTTGTAGTGCTTTAACCCTGGAGGGCAGCTGAGCCCCATGCAGCCACTCGCTCACTCCCCCCCAGTGGCATGGGGGAGAGAATCAGAAAAGAGAGAAAACCCGTGGGTTGAGATCAGGACAGTTTAATAGGACAAGCAAAAGCCGCGCACACAAGCAAAGCAAAACAAGGAATTCATTCACTCCTTCCCATCGGCAGGCAGGTGTTCAGCCATCACCAGGAAAGCAGGGCTCCATCACGCCTAACGGTGACTTGGGACGCACTAAGTCCAAACGTCCCCTCCTTCCTCCTTCTTCCCCCAGCTTTCATTGCTGAGCATGACGTCATATGGTATGGGATGTCCCTTTGGTCAGTTGGGGTCAGCCGTCCCCTTTGTGCCCCCTCCCAGCCTCTTGTGCACCCCCAGCCTACTCGCTGGTGGGGTGGGGTGAGAAGCAGAAAAGGCCTTGACGCTGTGCAAGCACTGCTGAGCATTAGCTAAACCATCAGTGTGCTATCACCACTGTTTTGATCGCAAATCCAAAACATAGCCCCATAGAAGCTACTATGAAGAAACTTAACTCTGTGCCAGCCAAAACCAGTACAAGGTTCAAAAAAGAAAAGCAGATTCTTAGCGCTGTAGAATGGTAAGTGTGGATTGCTGGAGAACAAAATAGAGCTAGGGATTTGTATATGGATTTTATACAGATGAAACCATATCCAATCTTAACACAGATGAGAGAATTTTGGACACCACTTTGGTCTGCAGCTTGTAAAGGACATGGATGAATAACCAACCAAATTATTGAAAGTCAAACCCAGAAGTACATTTGTAATATTTATACTGACTAGCACCCTTTTCAGTAGTTCCCCATTTCCAATAATGCTTTCTTTGCATAAAAATTACATTGGAAGAACAGTTTATTTTAAGTATTGTTCATCATCCTCTTTTTCAACCTAAGAATTTAATTAAAACTATGATTCTAAAACTGTATATTGGGACACCTCTAACTAAATATATATGACAGAGGAATGATCATGTTCTGCTCTTTCGCTTTTACCTAGCTTATAGGACCTCTGAGCCATCACCCTCTCAGAAACCTTTCTCACATGTAACAGTTGAATTTAAAAAAATGCAGTGAAATACTCATCAGATACAGCAGCAATAAATATGAAGAAGAAAGCTTTTTAGTAAAGGAGGTTTTCCATAAAAAGACGTTGACTGCTGAGATGTTGTGTGTCAGATCAAGTCTTCCCTAGCCGGGCTGGACCCAGAGTTGTTATTGTGTGTGAGGAGAAGGATCTGGCAAAAGCTGGAGAGAGGATCACAGTAGAGAAGTCAGGCTTTGCCTGAAATGTCATCAGGAGCGCCTATTTTGCTCTGATCCTGAAGTAATTCTGTTGACAGTATATGGTTCATATCCTCATCTTTCCTTATGATGTTTTTTTTTTTTCTGATAGCTAATGGTCATGGTTAACATTTCCTAAACTGTCTTTATGTTCATCTTACGATATTTCTTAAAAAAAATACGTAATTCTTAAGATCAAAACTAACTTGTCCTGCAGATATTGACAAGCAGTGGCACCTGTTCATGTTCCACCACTTTGTAACAGGTAAGTTGATCAAAATGATGGGGGTTAGTATCTCTTCTTATATAGGTATTTGCAGTTTCTGCTTTTCAACCTGCAGTTCCAAGTTTTTAATATGAATCCTGTGTCCATATTGTGTCTGTCTTTCAGGGCTTTATGGGTTATTTTTCTTTTTCTTTTTTTTTTTAATGTAAAATTTTGCATCTCCTTTTTGCAGGACCCAGCTAGGATTCTGAACACAAATAGCAGCAGCAGCAGTAGTAACAGTTTTTCAAAGACCCACAAGTTAACAAAGGAGCACAAGGAAAAAACTTCTAAAGACTCAAAAGAACATAAAAGTGCCTTCAAAGAACCTTCCAGGGAACACAACAAATCTTCCAAAGAATCCTCTAAGAAACCCAAAGAAAACAAACCACTGAAAGATGAAAAAATAGTTCCTAAGATGGCCTTCAAGGAACCCAAGCCCATGTCCAAGGAGCCAAAATCTGAAACCACCCCCATCCTTACCATAACAGGTGGGCAGCAGCAAGAAAAAAAGACCCCCACAAAAAGGACATCTGTTCTGGACTCCGATGAACCTTCTGCAAAAAAAAGAAAAAAAAGTGGCTCGGATTTGTTATTTAAAAGTTTTTCTAGTGCCCCACCGCTGATTCTTACTTGTTCAGCTGACAAAAAACAGACAAAGGATAGATCTCAAGTCAAGGTGGGGAGAGTCAAAATTGAAAATGATGCACTGGAAAAGAAGACGCCTACTCTGCCACCGTTTGATGATATTGTAGATCCCAATGATTCTGACATGGAGGAAAACACGTCCTCCAAGTCTGAAGTAAGTGATGTTTGGTTTTGCTTCGTATGCGTGGAGTATTCCCAGTCTGTGAGATTGTCCACGATATTTGTATTTTCACCTTCCTTTCTCCTGCCTACTGGCAGATTGTTCAAACTGAAGGATGTTAATTGCTGGTTGTTCAAACTTATGCATGTTCTAATTGAATTGTATTGCCTGTTCAAGTCTACTAAATTTATAAACCCGTCAACATTATGATGAATGAGCGTATGGGAAATGGCTATAAATAGTATTGCTCTTTTGATCCTGTTATTTTGAATTTCATGCTTTTTGTGAGAGAAAAGGAAATTTATTTAAATGCTTGTATTTCACACCGTATGTCTTTGTGTTCAGGTGTTAGAGAATTCAGTAAATTAGAGTGTTACTTGTTATTTTTCTGCTAAAAAGGGCAGTTCTGTGAATGATGCCAGTTTTGTGGAGGAGGAGGAGTTTCTAGAATCCTTGCTCTGATGAGGAGAATCTATCCAAAGTAACAGGCTTACCCAAGAAGAAAGACTGTTTTTCTGGAAATTTGCTTTCCTGAAAATATTTGTCTATCATGCCTGCCTGAAAATATTTGTCTGCCGTACCTGCTCATCTGTTTCAAGCATCATTTGCTCTTGATGATTAGGATTTTAATCATTCTCCTAGCAGACTTAGATTTTCAGAAGCACCTTTTATAGAGAGGTGAGTAGAGAAGGAAAGGGGTGCGAAGGGAAGGCTTGTTAGGTGCCTGTATTTGTGCTTATGGCTGTAAGTAGTGTGCATGGTAGAGAGGAAGTATTCCCAGCCGTGCCTGTTCAATTCTTTCATTTTTCTGTTTTCTGTTGGGTGCCTCTGTTACTGCTATCAGATTCATAGCCCTGCTTGCCCTCTCTGGAACAGACAATAAATACCCTGCTGTGAGGAGGTGTCAACATTAGGTTTTTACTTCACAGAAACTTGCCATGAGGGGGAAAGTAATTTATTTCTGAAGTGACCTTTTAATGACTGGTCCCTTAGGGCATGCAAAGGCTGTAAAATTTAGAACGTATGGAATAGGACAGGCTCCGCTTTACAGCATGGCACTGGTGATACTGTAGTTGGGGTGGCATTCTCGTTCTGGCTTAGAATTTATGATTTTGTCTTTAAACCTGAAAATGTTCGCACGTGTCAGCCTTGGTGTGAATTAATTTTTAATGTCTTCAAAAGAAGCTGAATATTCTATTTTAATTTATGTCAGTACCCTTAAGACTCGCTACCTACCCTCAGTATAGCCAGCTAATTAACATAGGTTTTGCTTTCAGATTTTCTATTCATTCAAATAGGTGCCATGTAGTGGCACATACACTTTTACTGGCAGCAGCAGTTCTCCGTTTTTCTTCAAAGACAAAAGAATTGAGAGGAACAACTGCAATGTAATTGGAATTTTACAAATGCAGGCCCTACAGAGGTGTGTGTTGCGTAGCAACTTGCAGATAACTGATGTATGAAGGATATGGATGGTGCTTAAAACCAATCCTTTTTAATTGTTGACGTGTGTTTCCCTCTTTGTTGTCTTGCAGCCTCTTGCCCGTTACCAATGGGTGTATATATATAGATACATACATACATATATAT